GATTTCGACGTGAAATTGTGTCACTTTATATGTGCGCTAACATCTGTGAAGAGCAAAAAAGCTCATGAGTAGCATTCTACCTTAAAATGCTTGGACAATAATGCTAAGATACGTACAGTCTTGTCTTTTTTGTGTACATTTTGCCGTAATGGATCAAGGGTGTGGGTGTGTTTGTCTGTGGGTGGGGAATGGCCTAGGATCCCTTCTCTAAAATGGTAAAATAGTTCAAAAATGTTATGTGGAATAAGTAAACCAATTGAATTTAAAACCGAGAATATAACAAGCAGCCTATCGGCTGCGATAGCTTTGCTGTTATCAATGCACATTTCAATTAAAGAACTGAAGACATCATTAGAAAATGAACAATATGTATAGTATCAAAGCAATCAGACTTACAGTTTTTAACGACAGGTCGAAAATATCACTTTCTACCAAAAATGATAAAAATATTCACCAAAATTAGAGAATTCAAGATATCATCACGAAATGAACAAATCTGAGAAAGGTCTACATGTAGTATCTATATATGTAATATCAAAGCAATTGAACTTTTGGTTTTTAACAAGAAGTCGAAAATATCACTTTTTACCAAAAATTACAAAAATATTCACCAAAATTAGAGAATTAAAGATATCATTACAAAATGAACAAATCTGAGAGAGGTTCACATGTAGTACCTATATATGTAATATCAAAGCAATTGAACTTTTGGTTTTTAACAAGGAGTCGAAAATATCACTTTTTACCAAAAATGACAAAAATTTTCAACAAAATCAGAGAATTGAAGATATAAACATGAAATGAACAAACCTAAGAGAGGTCTACCCAAGGTACATATACACCAAGTATCAAAGCATCCAGGCTTGTAGTTTTCAAGAAGTCGAAAAAGTAAAACATTGACACGGACGACGGACGACGACGGACAGTCACTCATATGATAAGCTCCGCTCGACAAAGTCGACAGCGGAGCTAAAAATGTATGTAACAGAGCTCAAACAAACTTTTTGAATATTATAAAATTCACACGTTTCACATCAAATACATCATTTATTGTTGTTTTCGAACCCCCTATTCAAAAGTGCTAGCTACGGGCCTGTCTTTGTTTTAATCGCACACACACCACATTGGAAATCATCATTTTAATAAGCAACATGTCATATAAATGAAACATACACATCATAAAAACACAGTAACTAATTTTATTTCATATGATAATTCCTCTAAGAACGATTTTATAGAATCTCCCGCGTTGACTCGAAATTTCGCATCGGACCAAGATTTGAGAGAATTATAAATTTCTCGTATGTCATAATCAAATATTGTAAAATCATTTATTTTCACTGACATTTAATTTCACTATTTTGATGTTTTGAGCATATTAACTGTGTTTTAATTTGACGAATTTGTCAAGGACATAACGAGTTTTAATGTTATTTTACATGTTCATGTAGTTTTAATTTAGCTTAATTCTACTTATCAGCGAAACTAGCGAAATTAAAACACAGTTAATAATTAATGCATTTACAGGAGCGCTTTATGCCTGGGTCCACCACGACAGGTTTTTCCGCCGAAATTTACCATCTGAGTTTACAATAGTCAACCTCTAAAGCCAACATAGGACACTAGCTTCCACAGGAGCTTGTCAACTGACGGCACTGGGGTGAGTTGAGCTTGTCAACTGACGGCACTGGGGTGAGTTGACAAACCTCTTTGCTAGCTTCCACTCAGATACATTAAAACAGTGGTGGTCGTCGCGCTGCACATGTGCGACATTTGTGTTGATAAACTAATCTTCCCACAATCCAATGCGGTTTTCTAATGGAAATCACAGGCACGAGTTTTGACCTTGGTGCGACTCAGTGCAGTAATTATCGCCGGTGACTCATTCGATACTTTCTAATCTTGTAAAAATTATCTAATTTAAGTTTGGAAACGTCTCAGTTTGTACTCGTTGGTGTGGGCAGTCAGTCAAAGTCGCCATCTTTGTTTATATGAGACCCACTGGCACCTCCCGACTACCACTACTATTTTAACAAAAGCACGGTATCATACTATTCCCGGGCTGGAAAAGAATCTTAACAATCTGAGCGGTGCACAGTGAAATCTGATTAAACTGAACAACAAAAGTCGCGGACTGTGACAAAATGTGCTAAAGAAATTGTTGTAAATTGTATAATATGATTAGGTCGATACAGAGTCTGTACTGAACGGGTGTTCAGTTTAGACATGATTTGTGGGGTTTAGATTGAAAAATAATTTGCTGTATCAATAAACATTTAAACAATTCGTTGTCTATTTTAGGTCAGTGAATGAAGTTGTGGACCATGCCGCAAAAATGTTATTAGAAAATCGGTTAATTTTCCGTGTTTCAATCAGGCCCCATAACGAAGGAAAACATTTAATATTCTTCTTCGTCCAGGGGTCTGATATAGCCATTAGAACATGGTCGACACTGACAGTCCAAGGCAGCCTGTACTTTCATAGCCATTGTAGGTCCGCCCTCACGTCCCGGGCATCGCAAATTAACGGTGCCGACTCGTTTATGCAAAGGAGCACAGCACGTGCAAAAATCTTTGTAAACCAGTTCTTGATACACATTACTCCAATGTGGTTCAGTGTATGATGGACAGCTCCCTCTACAGGCCATTGTCGGTATGCGTTTGGGGATACATCCAGGGTATGTAACAATCATGTGCGCAAAGGCTGACGAACACTCCGCCGATGTGATTGGTGGGTACGTTGCCATGACTACAATGACGGAGATTAAGACCAAAGATGATATACTTCTCGATGAAAACATAGTTTTGTTTTTTACTTGACTCTGAAATAAAGCATAAGATGAGATAATATTTTTTTAAACTTATGTATAAGGTTTAATTAAAACTATTTGCATCATGATTATATTTCACATGTACCTGTCTGACGTGATGGCATTATTCGGTATATAACATTATTTGTAAAACATCGGTTCATTATAAAATTGCAATTGTATAAATTGGTATACTTCTCGATAGTAATTAGTTCAATACATTGTGTTTTAAAACTACGGTAAAAGGCCATTTTCTATGTTTTCTCTATTCTAACACTACGTCATTTACTGGTAAATCATATTATTCATAAACCCGAATCTAAAGTGTGTGTGTGTTGTTTTTTTCAATCGTATCATCGCCGCAGAGTTGTTAATGGTCAATCTTATTGCGCACACTTTTCGTCAACATATAATGTCGCAGGCCGGAGTGGACGCCGTGAACGTTTTCTTAATTTTTGTTTCCCACTACATTTCCCAATTTTCAAGTTCTCAATGGCAGCTAATTTACATATGCATTTCAAGGTTTCGCCGTGCGGGGGCGTACTCCCAGTGGGGTTGCTTTTTGCTGTTCACAGAAGCGTAACAATGGAAAATTTGCATTCGAAAAAAGTTTCTGAATTACGTCAGTTTCTACAAGAACGAGGAATAGCTGTTGTAATACACAGAAGTCCAAGCTGATTGAACTCGTGGAACTTGCAAATGAGTTAAAAGTTCGCCCTTTAGAGCCTGACGATCGCGAAACCTCGAGCAAGCGTCGCCGTACAGTTCAGGACAAGGAATCTACCCTGACATTAGAAGATCCGTATACTATCAAAACCTGAGGGCAAAACCTCCATTACATGCCATCATTCGAAACTGCAGATATATTTGCGTACTTGATACATTGATGTGACTGGGCACCGTTAAAAGAATATCGACTTGGCTATGGTTTTCTTCTGTACAAAGATGGACATATTGTTTCCATCAAGCTTCACCATGTTAAAGAAACTGAAGTTATTTAAATCATGGCTGAGTGTGTTCGAGAAACATCCCAAAAAGAAAAACCTTACCAATGCTGGTTTCCGGTGGCTGTAACGTAATTGCGTTGCATAAGTCAGGTTTTTTTTATTAAGAACTAGACGCAATTACAAGCGTCACTGGACATATGTTATACTTCCGCTCCTTGTCGACGTCACTTGAAATAAATGTTATTAATAATCGCTTTAATGATTGTAACTAAAAATAATTTCCATTGAAAATATAATAGAGAACATGGTTCATGCAAACACTGTGTGGCACTACTATTTAGTATCCAGGATTTTGACTCGCGCCACAAAGATCGCGCAACACAACCGAGAAAGAAAATCATGCCATGAAAACAACGAAGATTTAATCAAAGCTATTTACGATATTTCCTCTGTGAACTACAACCACATGTTGGATCCAATGTTAAACTCAGTAACAGAACCATCAACAATTCCGGATCTAGGCAATAAATTCAAATCTTCAAGTACATGTGTACTACTAATTTTATACAGTACATGGCAAACGAACTCACTGTGTCCGACATTGAACTAATGACATCACTTTCACTAAATCAGCGAAACTCGTCACATTGGTTTAAATATCTACATGGCCGTGTAACTGCCAGTATAGCTCACTGCGTGCTTCATATGCGGGAAACTAATAATTCAGACAACTACATCGTGAAAACAATACCAAGTACTCGTAATCAGCAAGTGCAGTCTCCGCACCTAGATTTTGGCATCGAGAATGAACCTGTCGCACGTCAGTTATTTTTTGAGAAGTACCAGACTAGACATAAAAACGCCGACATTAAAGATTCAGTTACGTTGGAAAGCACCGGATATTTTGTCATATTTTTTTTATGGCACTGGAAGAACAGACAGGAGCGTTGCAATACCAATTTACCATTGTGATTATTGCGTCCTCGAAAGTAAGCGAAGAAATTCACTTTGCGTGTCAGCAAGTAAATGCTAAAGCTGTGGTTATTTTAACCCCACTCAGAGCCGTGACAGTGGTTGTCATCCGGGTACCTAGCGGCTTTCTAGCGAAAACCGGAAAACGGTGCTGTATTCCCGTACATAAATGCTCGCGAAACTACCATCAATGACCACATCCCAGATGAAACGCTTACAATACTACTGGCACGGGTTTCAATGAACGATATTTATCGATAGGGGAAGCAGCCTGAGACATAACCACGTATTTTGGGAAAAGTGACAAACTGTGACCGTGTCATTCAGTGGGGGGGGGGGGGTAATCGAGAGGCGTACTGATTAATACTGATGTATGATAGCTATCTTTGAAAAAAAATACAGAATACTCGTCGGCGAAAAGTCTGGATGCGAACTTGCGAAATGTTAGACTAGATGCCGTCTAAAATCGTGATAGCGAAATGTAAAGACAATTCTGAGCGACATAGTTACGCCCACTAGTAACAAAGCGAGACTGACGTCAATGGCCGCTCACATCGTCGAAATTGTTATGATCTGTGGTCGGCTGACAGTGAAAAATATTGATTTAGAGATGTGAAATATTGTACATTACAAACAACTACACAGTCAAGCAAAGTTGTTTACTTAGACGACATTGCTTAAACCCATTACGTCATGTTGATGTCACGGAAGTGTTTCGTCACTAAAGAGTTCGATGTGCTGTAAAACATGTCTTTTTCGCGAGTATGTCTTTTTCGCGAATTTAGCGAGAGAACTGATTCGCTAATTCAAGATGTCGCTAATGACTTTATTACCAATTCAAAATGGCCACCAAACAAAGAAATCAACAATGACAAGAGAGATTCGCTAAATCAGCATTTTGCTATTACGTCATTTTACCACAATTCGCTAAAATTGCATGCCGCTTTTTCAACATGTTTTACAGTATTTGAAAAGTGTAGTCGCCTTCAAATAAAACGTCGATTGTATCGTTCTAGAATTCAAGAAGCAAAAATTGAAGCGGAGCTCAATAGAATTGGTGCAAGTAAAGTGCTCTAACACGTCATATGGGAATTGGTAATTCAATTTTGGAGACCCGATCTTTGCATGTAAATGAAACGTTATTCAACAGTGTCAACATGTATTTGCAAATTTAATATCATACTAAATGACCTTATTTAACAAATTCACTGAATTATAACGCATATCGGAGAATATTGAGAATGGTCTATGGAGGATATTTCTATACAACCGTGTTTTATTTCGCTGTAGGAAGATTAATATTACATACACACGAAAAAAAAAGATATACGGGGCGACACACAAGGAGAACATTGTTGTAATATAACAATACCTGAACCCGTTCTTTGAGAATATTCGCTGCTATCTTACATTATTAAAACGCATATTTGCTGTTAGGTTTCGTGGGTTTCTCTATATGTTATTTTTTCACGACGTGTTCTTGTTATTCTGTTACTACGCTGAGTGCTCACTCGCTTCGAGTACTGTCAGTAATGTTGAAGGTCACAATACCACGCCGCCAAACCTCTATAGCGTTTACAACTACGTTTAAAAAGAACGCTTGATATGTCTGGCGGGTTTGTGCAAATCTAAAGTAAAAGGTCCTCCAGGAAAAGAGTGTACACTTATTGGCTAAAAATAGCGCCCGACTATCTTCATGACGCCGACAAATGCTGGGTCCAAAGATGTTAGAATTTACAAAGATTGAATTCATAGTCAGGGAAAGGAACAACTGTTACATTGAAATTGGGAGTACCCTCACGACCACATTTTAAGACATGGGTTAAAGTTTAATATATGCCGAAAATTTTGTAATATAAAAAAAAAAAAAAAGAAAAAAAAAAACAATAAGAAAAAAACGCCGAACACGTCGCACACGCATTGGATCTCAATTTCACCAATATCAGTCGATATCCGAGAACACGTGTTCCTAGAACGAAATCAACAACTCATTATAAAAGGAGTAATTACTAGTATTATAGACATGTTTATTTTGATATTGTATTACGTCAGATTTCGTTACAAATTATAAGAGTAGCTTCTTGTGCTAACAACATATTTCACATTGGATCAGGTACAAATACCTTGGACAAGTCGGGTAGCAACCCAGTGACTGGTGCACTTATAGAAATTGTCTTTTCATTTAATTTCACGGGTCTTAAAAGTTGGCCTGGTCAATTTAGAATAGAGAGGTAAAATTGAAATTCCATCTTCCGGATTTTTTATCACTCCCCTTATCACATAAGAGGTCTGCCCCCCTCCTCACATGTTTGTTTGGCAACGTTTGTATAAGATTCTCCGTTTTTTTAATGCAGAAACATACACTACTCAATTTCATCTAGCTAAATGTACAAAATAGTCATTCAAAACGCGTGTTTTAAAAGAAATTTAGAAAATACTCCAATCCAAGTTTTACAATGCCCTCCCCTTAAACAAAACTCAACATTGACCCCTATTTTCAAGAAATTGCGTATAATATCACCAGTCCTCAGAAAAGTGTCCGCAAGAAATAGAAACGTTTTCCCGTGCTCCCAAGTTGTATTCATGAAACAGTTTTTTTTTTATGACAGCTATATTGAAAGCACCTGACTAGGATGGGTACTTCCACATGACATGCTACTGAGTAACGTTTTCGCATACAAATCGTAGATGTGCTTTTTCAAGAAAACAAAACAAAACATGGAATAATTTCAAAAAATCAATGCTGTGAATATCGCAAAAATATATCACGTGTGAGTTGTCAAAATCATTATTAAAATGTTGAAACTATATTTACTTATGTTTGCCTATTTTACATAGAAACAATATTAATAACAGATAATTGCAACTGGATCTTCTGAGACGATCTCAGGCAAACCACGGATCACTTATTAAGTGGTCTGAGCAGCCATTAAGTGCATCAGTATCTATAGAAGAAGCGTCGTACCGGAAGTAATTCAGTTTTACGGTTTAACGTGCCTGGGGTAAAAAAATAATGGACGTACAAAATTCACCAGGTGGAATTGTTATAATCTGGCATTTGGAATTAATATATCCCATGTCTGAAACCAACTGAAGATGTTTAAGGCAATGAAAATCCGTTGTTATTTTATATGTGTGTTTTAGTTGTTTTTTTAATACAAAAGCCATATGAATAGCGGGATTAGTAGTGGTTATTAGTAATTAGTAGTGGCTCGATCACTCATGTTCCCAAGTACACATTGTTGATGTAACCAGTTTCTCCAAGAAAACGTATTTTGTTACGGTGTTCGCTGCGTTTTCAGCAGTTCCAGCCCATTCTAGTTGTATATGACATTATGTTTACTTCATTACGAACATATGCCAAGATATCCCGAAGTAATGTTATTCGGTTGTAGTTTAAAACTTAACCCCATTTTCTGTGTCGTGCTATTGCCCTGTTCATTATTTTAGAGGAATGATTCAGCTCCATTGTGTACAGTGTTATACCCTTATTATCTAAAACAACAATAGCAATTCCTGACTTACTCTCTCAAAAGACGTACATATAGAAACTAAGAAATTATTGTAAAAACTAGACAAAACCCAAAAAGATCTAATATATAAAAGTCATATTCAAACGTATTAAACAAAAACAAAATACACCGTTAAAATAGTTGGTGTCATGGTTAATCCGATGTTGCTGCATAATTTTGAGATATGGTCGTATGCCATAGTCACGCAGTAAAAAAACCCATCAGATTCATCTCACCAATGGGAAAAAAACCATATCGAATTTTGAAAATAATTAAACACCAATGAACTCAATTTAGCACGTCCTTTTGAACTGCGCAGGTATCCTTTAATTATGCCAACTTGTTAGGAGAATAGCCAGGATGTAAATATGGGTTTCAAATCAAGAACAAATCAGAAGGTTTCCTATGAACCACGACAAAACTAAAAAAAAAAGAAGCGAATACGCGTTGTAGACTCGGGACGCTAAATAACAAGTCCAATATGTGAAAGCTGGGAATTAAAGGTGTCTTTTATTCCAAGTCGAATGCAAAGAGCACTCGACCGGCTCTCAGGATTATTTTAAACAAGTGTTAAACTTCATTATTCCTGTATCAATATCTAAATCAGGAAGCGATAGCAATAATGATTATATTACTATTATTACCCAATTTCTAAATGGCGCATAACGGATGGTATGGAACTCGGGAATCGAGTTTACCAGGAGCAAAACTATTGCTAAGATCTGACATATAGATTCAGCAATACGTATGATTATTTTTGCAAGAAGCTTGGCTTGTTGAAGTTTATTGAAATGCGAAAACTATAACATTGCATGGGATACGACGAGTGAAATTGGCTTGGTGGGATACCGTACTTACCTTCGGAAAAAAAGGTTCCCGTCACGGTTGTTTCAATGTTCGTCTGCACGAGTCTATCTGTGATATTCACTTGCAAATCTGTAAAAGTGATTTCCGTCCGCGCTATAGGGTTACTCGGAACGAAATGATGAATATGTACATAACACCCTTCTCTAGATGTATTGGACTCATTAGCATAATTATAGTAATACAGACCAATGCGTAAGTGTTGTCTGCATGGTCTCCTTGTATGCCATCCCCACACGTCACTATCTACCTTGCTATCGGCATCACAAAGCTGTCAGTATGTATTTTTATACGCTTGGTAAATCCCTACTTCATGCGTATTTAAAAGCGAACACATCTATTTCACATACATACACGTTATTTGCTGCCCCTGTGGTGGCACTTTGAGATCAAATTGATACAATTCCGTGTTTCTGTATTCTGAGAAAGGGGTATCTGGTATTACAGTCTATGGGAGGAAATAAGGCATGCTTTCTGGGCTGTTAGAAATATGTTTCTTGTATCGAGAAAAAAAAATTGCGAATTTGTGAATAATTGTTCTTTGAATGTCCGAGTTATATGAATTCGGGGGTAGGAGTTGCAGCATTGTGGCCAGTATATAATAAATACAAGAACAATTTACATTGATCACGCCATGTGTATTCATTGTGATATAAGAATTACAGATGATATTAAAATATCTGAGTGTAACACTGGCCGCCGCCATCTTTGATTGAAAATTTAATGAAATCATGGTGGTAGAAATTGTTATCACCGCCATGATGACGCATCCTTCAAAGAGTCATGTAGTTGTTGTTACAACATACTTGAATGAAGATGAGTATTTCAGACGGACAACTTGGAATATCTTCTGTCCACCGTGGGGAAAAAAATACCATTAGTAGCGGAAATTTGAAACTCTGGGAGAACTACATAGGCTTTGGAAACATGTTTTTTTTTTCTGTTCACTTCACTTTATGTGATTTTTATTTTGTTTTCATTTTCAACACCTGTTCATACAATCAAGGAAATAAGTTCTAAAACTGTTTTCGACGCAAATTTCAAAGCCTTTTCAATAAACACCAATCCTGTCCTGAAAGTTCATTGTGATTTGTAATATTTAAACTTTTATCAAGAGAATAAGTGAATATTCATTGAGAAATATAGTGAGGTCACGTTAAAAATACGATTATTCAGTATCACTTGTCTTGGTTGCTCGTCGAAGTCAAGGCGAACACGTTGCTGTCTGTAGGTAAAAAAAAAACACACAGATAAAATGTATTCCTATTTAAACACCACCCATAATTTCGTTGATCTTAACATCATAACTGGCCTTTAAATCTCCCGATTACAAAATATACGTTATGAAAAATGTTGCGATGAGATAAGATTTTAGTGACTGAATTTAATATGCACACTGACGATACAGCCAAACGCCTAACTAAACTAACCGTCCCAAAAAGACGACTCGAGGGTAGCGCGCTGTGAACGCGGACATACAGTGACGTCACATGCAACCATATATACATATAGTGGTCAATATGACCTTTCCAGTTACGTTTGCCCCCCCCCGGGACATGTACGTATATGAATACTTTGGGTACGTTATTTGATGATTAGAACCAAAAGTAAAGAAAAAACGCTCTCTCTCTCGCTCTCTTTCAATATATATATATATATATATATATATATATATATATATATATATATATATATATATATATATATATATATATATATATATATATATATATATATATATATCTGGCCAAGGGGGCAATTCTCTAGGCTGATATGTAACCATGGTTATAGTAGTACACAATGTAAACATGCCCGTGTTTTTTGTAACAAGCTTATTAATTACTAGGAGTAAAATATACTCTCCCACAGTGTACGGCAACATGTAGGTTTTGTTGTTTTCTTTACCTTAGGGTACAACTACAGTAGGGGGCCACAACAGCCTTCTTCCAATTTCTTTGCGTCACGTTTCTTAATATCTAGACCCATCGACATATCTGGGCTACCAGTGGCTTCCTCTGTACATACGAACTGCATTCCTGTTTCCAATTCTGCGCAAACGCATCCTGTAGCGTCTTCCTCCCCCAACTCACTGCACGTTCTAACTGTAGGGAGAAAAAAGAAATATCTCGAACGACAATTTGTACAAGATACTATGCATTTCGTCGTCCTTTCGAAACATTCATCTGGTGTTTTAATGCGATGTAATTTACTTGCCTTCTTCCCCAACTTCATCGTCTCCTCCCTCGTCTCTCTTCATCATTGGGGATGCATTGATGGGAATCACCAATGCTACACATACTATAATACATACCATATAGGCCTCCATATTGTCCTTTAAAACAATAGACATCTTGTTATTATTAGAAAAATATATTTTAATGAACGTTTAATAAAGTAAACACGTGCAATGCAGGAAAACCCGGCATTACATTCAACCTCAAGAGTAATCAACTGTATATAATGAAATAAAGTTTATGTATGTCACAATATGTCTGCTCAATATATGGCACAAATAGGATGACACAACTATAAATGTATAAATTTTGAGATTAATTTTAAAATTTCTTTATTTAATGTAATGTATACCATAGGGATCATGGATATTGTAATGTGATATATTGAATGGCATGGCTTGAGGTTACGACCAGAATGTGACCACCTGGTGATACCGGTGTGCCAGACGTATCCATGATTGCATTGGGTTTGAACAAGAGATGAATTCCAGTATGCAAGTAAACAACCATACACTTGATTGACACTCAAAGATTTGGGACAGCAAGGCCGTCAAGTTGGAGAAAACTGTACTAGTACCTTAGATGATCAGGCACGTAAACAACAATTGATTATGTATTTGTCTTTAATAAACATTGAACAAATAATTACTGAAGTGGAGGTCATTAACACTGAATATTGACCGGTATCGAGGTATTTATATGTTTTATTATACTGAATAAATTAACACAACATAAATCGAGCGTTTGGGCATAGTATATGTGAGTGTATGTGTGATTGGAGTTGTTGCAAGTGCTATTTTTTTAATAAATATAGTCAATAATGTACATGAAGCATAACAAAAGTTATTGTCAACTTATTCTGACAATTTATCCTGACAAAGTTCGATTGGTTCGAAAGGGCGGCTCGGGTCGGCCTGGGGTTGCTGTGAGGCACTAAGGACGAACGATCCCGATTACTCATGAAATAATAATGTTCATGATACGGTGGATGGAGAAAACCGAGATCCATTGTATCTATCATGTGGTAACTTTGTTAATTGTGGATAAAATTTCCCATTTATTAATTTTATTAAAAGTTGACATTGGCGCTCGAAAGGTTAAAGCGCGGTGGTCATCGCGCAGCACGTGTTCGAATTTCATGTAAATAAACAATGTATTTTACACGCGTTGTATACGTCACGATGAGTCCCATATCGAACACGACGCGACACGACGACTGCCGCCCTTTAAAATAAAAATTTATCATGTATTACAAGATACTTGTTGAAGACATGAAATATTACAATTTGCTTTATTGTCGTATATAGAAGTTGCTATTTATATTTTTTACATATATTATTTATCAAATAATTTGTATTTCTTCTCAGAAAATGTACGGCGATTGACAGTAGAAATATAGGTAATTATACACAGATAATGGTACTTGGTGTTACGTCTTCGAGTTCTGTAGTCTAAATCTGTTTTGATAAATCTTGCTGTTACCGGTAAATGTAGCAATACTATTCGAAAGGAGACGGGGATATTCCGTATCCATTCGTCCTTTTTAAACACTATAGCCATTAAAACAGTATTGCAACCTATATTATTATGAAAACCCTTAACGTAAGTAGTAAGACGTACCATATACCGAATACAACGATAATCGCGAGATAGACGGATCAGAGCCTTTTACCAATCACCGACAATTACCGAGCATTTCCGTAGATTATTCTATGATATATGTCAGTATATTATGACGTCACCGAATTGCAACCATAGATTATAACCAACAGAAACTGTCACTACGAGGTTGTAGATTGTCAAGACCAAAATAAAAAAAGGAGAAAGACTTCACATGTCTTCGAGAAAGGCTTGCAGCACAATGTAGAAGACAGAACAACTTAAAAATGTATTTCATATGCTGTTCCTCACATAGTGAAATGACGGCAACAGCTGCTGCTCTATCTGCAACTCCTGTCTCTCTGTAATGGGCGAATAGTTATTATAATGGTGGTAGTATACATGCGACGGGAAACGATTCATACTAATAGTATAATGTTAATTGGTGTGTGGGTGGATCCACTCCCGTACGGTTATCATAGGGAGAACCATGGGACATCACCTCCGGGGAAATTGAAGATTCGATAATAACGATTAAGTCGGATTATGATAAGCATCACTAAGACTAAGACGTGTCACGTGTGCACTAATTAGGAGATATAAAGTACAATTAATGCAATTTAGTTATGGGAATTTAATATTTTACAATTTCTCGATATCACGTCATCGTTGGGATCACTTCGGTAAAATGTGATAAATAACGTCTACTATCTGTTCTATCGTAGTGTTTGCGTCTTCGTTTTTTTAGTCACCTTGTATAGCGAAATGATTTGATGGTTCCATTATAGTGAAAATATGAACACCGCCATATTGGGACACGTACATGTGCTAGAAAATTTACTAATTTGTACTGGGACAGTGATACGTCAATCTCTCAATTAACACCAATTTCTCATCATCGGTCCGGAAATAACACTTTTAAATTGTCAATTGTTCTGTATCATGGCAACGATTATACACTCTTGATAAGTATAGTCCACAAAGACATCATTTACACTGGTAAATTATAAATTGTTATGTTTTTGACGGAAAACAAGATAGATAAAAGATATGTTGATGAAGATATAAGATGTTGAAGATAAAAGTACGAGTATTTATAATTGCAATTATACATATATAAATAAAACAATGATCTTACAAAACATTTATATTACGCATACACATATTAGGCACGTTTTGCAAGACCGATTTATTTCTTCAATACACTGTGAATGACGGATAACGAATCTTAAACTTAATGATTTAATCGGACAATTATCCACGGCGTTTTAAGTCTCATTATATTTATTTTTAATGTGGTATCACATATAAGAGAAATTTAACACAATAATACGTAACATAATAACAGGTAAATTTACCGCGTAAAATACGCTTTGCTAACACAATACCAAACGCACACTCTTTCAAAGAACACCCCAAAATTTACATTAATTTTTACTTCATTATAGCAACCAATTAATTGTATCTAGACACACTTGCACTCAAATTCTTATATATATTTACTTACCGAAAATTTGCTTGCAATAACAGAGCATATGACAAGGTGAATTTTACTTCACGTGTAAAAATAACTGACAACATACAGTTTAATTATCGAATACACTCATCAAACAGTACACGCCGCCACCTTAACATGCAAATTGTGCAACAGATGGCCAGAATTAATATACAATATTTGTAACGACAAACTTCCCATTTGGATAAGTATATCCGAGAAACAACATAAAACCAACCCCGAAAATGTAGATTATCAAGGAAATTTATAAATTACAAGAACGCAACACAGTGCAATAAACGACTTACACACTTATTACACAGAGGGTGTGTATTTCAGAGCGTACGTCCAATTAGTGATGTCAGGTGTTTCCAAGATTCCGAAGATTGAGCACATTTTTCTCACCATGCGGTACTCGCCATATATGTAATAATCACGCGTCAAAACGGAGGCAAATAGATCCTTGTCACGCCAAATATGACATTCGACGGAAAAGCATTAATGAACTTATTATTTAATAACGAATTAATTTTAACTTTTAATTGTATTTTAAGAATTGATTGAATGTAAAATTCGGAAGATGGCTGAACTAGTAGTTTCCGATTCAGTGCACCCAGTCACCTGAAATGTACACACATACATGGAGCAAGTTTAAATATTAGCAATGAGCTTACTTTAAAAAACGAAAGCGCTTGTATATTGCCACCTTACCCATACATTTCTTATACACGTACATTAAGATGATAGTCACTTGCCATTGAAGTTAATATATCCACATTCACTCCCTACACATTCAATTCAATGCCACTGTATTTTAACATCTTTGTAAAATAGAATGGAAACTACGACACACTCAGAAACAAGTATCTCTCTTATTGCATGTTTAATTGTTGCTACACGTCGTACAAGGACGATTCTGACATTTCAAAGAAAAGGTGAAGATGACAATTATTTTGTTGGATTGAATGAAGGAGTTGTGTGAAGATTTTAACACCTCGTTTTAAATTATGTGGTTTGGAAGGACATATGCATACCACGTGCTTTTCGGGCGTCATATAAATTTTTCGATAATTGAAACTTACGCGGAACACAAACGAACGCTGTAACTGAGGAAACGGGTTGAGATTCAAGTGAAATTTTCAGTCGGTTTTGGACTTATCTAACGTTGTTAAAACACATTTGAAATCCATGATATGATATGATCGATCCAAGAAAACGTTAACCCCCGACGCAAAATTAAAAAAATCAAGTGATTGTATTCTCAACAAAACGGTGGTTCTTGAGACACAATAAGAATTTAATAAAAACAAGTTAACAATAATGAATTTCGAAATACATAACTTAAAAAAAAGGAATGATTCACTGAACAAAAATGTTGATAATTCAAAAAATTGACGGACCATCATAAGATGGCCTTACTAGTTCATCTAATATAAAGCTGCCTCAATATAGTTTGAAATACGTAACTATAGTTACGACCTTTCAGATGAAGAGTACATCTTAACATAATTTTAGCGAGTTTCCTTGCCATCTAGTCCTTATTTCTGTATTAAATGACACCTATTCAGAGATTTGCATAGACCGATTGTCTTGAAATCCTGCATAAAATGTGTTATTCTATATCGTAAACAATTATCGATGATCCAATTTACGTAAAATGTATCACCTATTTATTATTCTCAACAATCAACAACGTATTAGCCAATTTTGATTGACTGTGGCATCACAATGGTGTCGACTGAACCATTTCCCCGCGTAGTTACGCCGATAAATATTTTGCGCCTAATCACAATAAATTTTATTTATTTTCTAAATTATTGGTAATGAACGTTTGAAAAGTCAGATATATATTGTTTAGAAGAAATGTTATGGCATCTTTACTTCTTGCAATTTGAAAAATAAAACGTACATATTTAAATGGGTATTGGTCGAAATAACGTAATCAATATCAACATCTGTTATCAATAATTGAAATTGAAAATTAATTGTTGATTGAATTTCTCATTCAAAAAAAGTAATTCAAGCATTCAAATTATTACTGTAGACAAAGAAAACCCATTTCCTTTATTTTAGGGATATTTATTAATCCCAACCAGGCAATCAACGAACAAAGTGCATAATTCAAAATGTTATTTCATCGACCAGAAGAAACATCTCGTTTCACCTTTCAAAGGCGTCTATTCCGCGAGAAAGTGCATCAGAATAATAGTTCAATCGTTAAAAGCACTACTCGCTGTGATTTATGCTGTGGGTTTGAACCCCATGCCTGGCAAATTTTTCCAATAGTTGAGAAAAAAAAAACGGTCTATTTTGTCATTGACTCCATGTGTTAAATCCAGCAATAATATTAGCCAAGGTACAGGCTCCTATTTGAATGTAGATAATGTAACACCAGTTCACATTCTGCTTATGAATATAAATGTGGTCTGTTTACAATTAGAATGGATACAACGAATTCTCAGAAATAATAGAGTAGGAGTTGAACAATAGGTTACGTGATCAAAAGCGGTATGAGCAAAATGTATGTGTTAAACTGTTAAATATCAAAAGTTAAAAAATGAGACCATTTTTTTTTAAAAACTAATATGGCCACTGAAACCACTGGATTAGATGCAAATACAAATAACAAATCAGTGAATCAGTCTCGAGATCCGTGGGCGAGCCCCTTACGTACGAGTCAGTCTGCGCATTCAAGTTCCTGTGGAAAGGTACAAGAGACAACCAATCAGTGATAACACAGAATTCTGTGCAGTCTACATATTTACTTAGCGATTTACCAGACCATTATTGAGTGCCTGGGAAGTGCACTCTGAATGGCTAGATTCCAGACTACTGAACCACACGAACATAAACAATTTGAAATTAAGGGCCATCAGTTCACATTAGCCTCAATCTGCATGCAAGGTTGCAGATTTCTTCCATTCAGGGGTTTCTCTAACAAAATATAATGAAGAAAACGGAATATTCTGAAAACATTGCATAAATATGCATATGAAACATACAAGATCTTGTTTGATCACTTCATTGTTAGGTTTGCTCTCTCCATAGAATACTTGTAAGCTGCTTCTGAGGTAACACCAGCTACAGACCTGTATATGATTGGTCAATCTTGTGAGGCTGTTGTGGATTGTGTCTGTCCTCCCAATACAAGGAAGCAGGAGAAAAAAATGTCACAAGCGGTCGCATCTCCAAGAAAACCAAAAAAAACAAGTTCTTGAGGAAACTTAGATCAGATTTCTATTTTTCGCATTGATCTAAGACAAAGCCTCTGCTGAGATTTATCAAAAACACAAATTGCATGTGTTGTACATTCCCAACAGTCTGACAACAGTTTCAAAATTGTTCGCCCAAAACAAGCATACTAGGAGTTACGGTCTCTGATTTAGAATAGTGTGACATGGCATGAAGATGCTTGGATTGTCCAAACAGTGAGGATTTGCGATACGGTTATAGGAAAGAAAGTTTTGTTTGAAGCAAGAAGTACACAATGGCAGTTTGAATTGTTCACCAGGTTCATTCAGCGTAGCAAAAAAACAAGGCAAACGTGTGTTCATAAGTACACAGTAAAAAATCTCAGCATTGGCAAAACATAGGCTTGTTGACAATATATTAAAGTATGATGAACATCACACATGTTCAGATGTACTATAAGTGTTTGTCTGAAAAGGCTATAACCATAGAATTATGTCACCTATGTTGAGATGTACCATCACTGTCCGTCTGAAAGGCTATAACCTTGGAATTATGTCACCTATGTTGAGATGTACCATCACTGTCCGTCTGAAAGGCTAAAACCATGGAATTATGTCACCTATGTTGAGATGTACCATCGTTGTCTGTCTGAAAGGCTATGACATGTTCAGATGTACCCTCAACTGTGTGTCTGACAGGCAATAGTGGCACATGCGGTTTTAGAGGGAGGCCAGCCAAAAAAAAAAAAAAATTACAAACCCAGCCCACCTGAGGTGCGTGGACGCAGACACGGACACGTCAATAGGAAAACACCCCCCCTTTCTGAATCCGCCAGTGAGTGGAGATTCTCCGTCCATGGAATATCTATGAAATTTTGTTTCAATGTAATGTAATGTAAACAGATGCTGGAGTAAAGTGTGCAGGTCGAAAAAGGTGAGCTTCATCTGGTATAACAAAGGCATGCCTGGGACATGGTTGATAAACCCAAAAGTCCATGTATCAGACTTAATCAGACGAGGACTAATAACTGGGTGCGTCAATGATTCATCAGATTAGACATATGGCAGTGTCTCTCGAGTCAAATGACATGAAGACGTGGTTTGAGGTGGAAAACACTTGTACCTTCACTAAACATAAAAAGTGAAACAAAAATCTTTTGCTAAAACATATTTATTATAGTTATGATGTTCTTGTTTTACTCTTCTTTTTCTTTATTTTTTTTGGTGACGTATCAACAGGAATATCGTGTTTTCGTTTTTTCCCAGCGATATCATTTTGAAGCTCAACTGTTTTTTCGTGTTTTCGAGAACTCTTCTTTGATTGGCTGAACAAAACATCAATAGAATTTTCATCCTCTGAAGGCAATTTCTATAAATAAAGAAATAGGAGATGTCATTAATGATAGAACAACTTTTCTCAGTTGCATAGCAACCAGCAAACAAGATTCTGATCTTTTCTCTTCCTACAATTGGTCACGTCCCTGAGAAACAGAGCAATTCTGTGACAGAAGAAGTAAGAACAGAAGTAAGAAATGCCGTTTATAACGTCTGTATATGTTTTTGATCAGTCTTTTCGAAATTTTGATATGACTTCAACATCAAACACAGTGGTCTATGATAATTAATATTATTCATATTTACGTAATTTTTGGAAAGATGTTGATAGCTAAATCCTATTTACTGAGACCCATATTTACCTCATCCAACCCATCTTCATCGAAACCCAAAGCTTTCATTTCTGTTTCATACATAGAAACTGAAACAGATTTCTTTGTTTCTTTGATAACAGGCTTGACATCAATATTCACTAAAAGTAAAGTGAGAAAAAAAAAATTGTATCTTTTTCTGCTATAATTTGTTTGTACCATGTACCAAAATGTTTTTATTGTTGCAGCAATTCCTATTTTTCACTCAGTTCTGTGACTATACGAAGTATGCAGTATGGAAATAAATACTATTATAATAATTTTATTTTAAATTAAGTTGGTCTAAAAATAGTATTTGGTGTTACAGTGTATGTAGTTCATGTCATTGACCTTTTTTTATGATTTAGACTTCATATTGGGTTTTAGTATTTTAGTACTGCAGCTTTCAAGACACAACAAAGCATATTTAAATTTTCAAACCCCTCTCCTAAAATTATTCATGTCCAAAAATACCTAAAATAAACAATTAAATCATAGGTCATAAGGTGCCCAAGCCAATAGACAAGTTTTAAGTTACAGCACCATCAGTCGGTTTCTGTGCGAAAATGGAGGTTTGATTTCGCATAATTTGTTTGCTAGTTTCGCTGGTTCTCGGCTTTCTGCTGAGCTATTGAATGCTTATGTGGCAAAATCAACTCCCCTACACAGACGAAACTGAAATATTTTTACAACAGAGCGCACAAATTTCTAAGGTGAAAGCGGAAGTCAAAACTTGTCTATTGTTCTCAGTCCTAATTAGTTAGAATTAGTATCGGAACTTGAGCAATAACTACATGTTTGTATGCACTTACGCAAACATTAATATAAACATAATTTTGGTGATGTGCACAATTATATAATATATTTTGTAAAGTGATTTGATATCCATTAATTATTATATCTGTATTTATAATAACTTGCTCTGAATTACATTTATGAATATTAATGAGATCATGAATGAATATGGGGCTAAAAAAGACAGTACCAGGTTCATCCTCTAAAAGATCCGCAAACATTTTTCTCTTCTTTTCTTCTCTTTTCTGTATATCTTTCCAGTCTTTTGGTCGATGTTTGAAGTAACCAATAGCACAGTTCCTGTAGACGAATCGGCCAAACATATCTTGACTCAGCTGCGACTCTCGTTTGGCTAGCTCCTCAGCTATTGTGTACTTGTTTTTCAGAGTAGCGCCATTCCATATAGCATCAATGGTTCGACTGCCATGTTTAGTACAGGACAACTTGACATACCATCCCTAATGAATTTGATGGATATGATATAAAATGTCAACACTCCAAGCACAGATGTAGTCATGTCAAAAACAGAACACTTTTGAGGTGTTCAACAAAAAAATTCACTTAATATTGATTTTCTTGAGCAAGAAATTAGTTCTATAGATTATCTGTATTTTTTCTTTAATTTCCATATTAATCCTGGAGCAAACCGATAACAAACTTGAATGCAGCCAAAGATATTTAATGGTATTTCATAGGAAACCAAACGATGTACAAATGGGATTGTGTGGAAATGGTATCTGTTAAATTTTGTCTTTATGAAGAACCGACAGTTATAGAATATTGAGCTTAAGACAGCGAAAATTTAGCAATTTAAATTCAACAGTAAATAGCGCTGCATCCATCAATGCATGGAGGATTGGAACATTATGCAAATGTGACCTTTCAATGTCTTTACATGAAAGTTCCCCATCTGCGTGACTTTCACCAGTATTGAAAATAAATTGTGTTTCTTTGTGGCGCTGAAAGGTCAGACACATATTTAGGTGTTTTATGTACCATATGAATATTTATTAATAGGTCTTATCCTATTCAGTTTTGCAATATCACTGTTATAAATCATTCAGAGATACATCTAATATGGATAATGTTGCACGGTGTCTACTAATCACGATAAATAATCACATGACTACTGAACCACATGTATTTTTCTGATTGATGATAGATAACACACTAGAATCATAGCATGATATTATTTTAACTGGTAAAAGTTGTCTTATCTTTTGCATTATGTATTAATGTACGTAGTGAATGGGGATAATAAATAAAATACCAG